GCTTGCTCAGGAATTCTGGGAGTTGAAGTCCATAATTCATAAAAGGGCCATAGTTGCCCACCCCTGCGCCTGAGCGATACACTTTTTTTTTAGCCCACCTCAGAGGAGATTACAGGTAGTCCTTGACTTATGACCCCCCCCCCATTGGACCCACAAATTTTCCGTTTCACAGCAAGACAGTTGTTAAGTGAGTTTGGCCTCACTTTTACGGCCATTTTACGGCCTTTCCTGCCATGGTGGTTGAGTGGATCACTGCCGTTGTGCCATTAGTCACACAATTGTTAAGTGAATCTGGATTTTCCCCCCTTGATTTTGTTTGTCAAGATAGGTCGCAAAAGGGGATCACGTGACCCCCCCCGGCTCACTGCCGCCGTCATAAATATGAGTCAGTTGCCAAGAAGCTTACATTGACCACGGCAGATGCTGCAATAGTTGTAAGTGTGAAAAACGGCCATAAGTCCCTTTTTTTTCCATGCCATTGTCATTTTGAACCATCACCAAATGAATCGCTGTAAGTCAAGGACTATACCTGTTCTGTCTCTTTCTGGTGGTAAGGTAAAGATTCCCCTCGCACATATGTGCTAGTCGTTCTGGCTCTAGGGGGAAATGCTCATCTCTGTTTCAGAGCCAAAGAGCCAGCGCTGTCCGAAGACGTCTCCATGGTCATGTGGCCGGCAGGACTAAACGCCGAAGGCGCATGGAAAGTTGTTCCCTTCCCACCAAAGGGGTCCCTATTTTTCTACTTGCATTTTTTATATGCTTTCGAATTGCTAGGTTGGCAGAAGCTGGGACAAGTAACCAGTGCTTACTCGGTTACGCGGCGCTAGGGATTCGAACCGCCAAACTGCTGACCTTTCTGATCGACAGGCTGTGCATCTTAGCCACTGAGCCACCGCTTCCCTTTCGGGTGGTCAAAGAATATCACTCTTCAGGCAGCCCTTGGCTGCTCTGTTATGTCTGAGAATAGAAGTGGCTTCCTCAAAGCTCCCTTGATCCCAGGACTGACAAACCCTTAATCCCCAGTAAACAAGCCGAGAAAAAAAACACGAAAGAGTGAATGTGTTGCAGGTTTCTCCTGGGCAAGCACAAAGCAGCGGTTGAAGTCTACAACGACGCAGCTCAACACAACGAGAAGGACTGGGTATGTCTGAAGCTCTTCTTATTTCAAAAGAGGGTGGTCAGGATTGGATATGGACAAATCAGCCAAGGCCAGATTTATTCACATATTTGGTTTCTTCTTTAAATGAGTAGTAAGGTGAAGGTAAAGGTTCCCCTCGCACCTACGTACTAGTTGTTTCCGGCTCTAGGGGGCAGTGTGCTCATCTCTGTTACAAAGCCAAAGAGCCATCGCTGTCCAAAGACATCTCTGTGGTCATGTGGCTGGCATGACTAAATGCCCAAAGGCGCACGGAACGCTGTTCCCTTCCCACCAAAGGGGTCCCTATTTTCCTGCTTGCACTTTTTTTTACTTGCTTTTGAACTGCTAGGTTGGCAGAAGCTGGGACAAGGAACGGGAGCTCACTCCGTTATGCAGTGCTAGGGATTTGAACCACTGAACTGCCGACCTTTCTGATCGACAAGCTCAGCGTCTTAGCCACTGAGCCACCGCGTCTCTAAATGAGTAGTAGCCGCTTCTTAAAAATATGACTCAGGTGGGGAAACCCCTAAGAGGAAACTGGTGGACGGTTTCCAGAAGAAAATGAGGTTTCAGTATCCCAAAAAGTTTGTGCTGTACAGGTAGTCCTCAACTTACAACAGTTGGTTTTTAGCGACTGTTCAAAGTTACAACGGCCCCGAAAAAAAGGGACTGTTTTTCACACGGTCATTGCAGGATCCCCATAAGTGGTGCGGTGTCCTAGAAGCGGAGCTCTTGCCTCATAATCAGGAGGCTGTGAGTTCGATCCTAGGTAGAGGCAAATATTTCTCTGTCTGGGCACGATGAGAATCTATCTGCCAAACAAAACTCTGCGTTGGGAACAGGAAGGGCATCCGGCCATTACAACACTCTGCTCCACTCAGTTGCCCAGACTCCACCCCGCAAGGGATTATGGGGGTCGTTAAAAAGAGGATGATTGCAGCATCCCCACGATCAGAATTCAAGCACTAGGCAACGGATTCCTATTGACGACGGTTGCAGTGTTCCAGAATCATGTAATTCCCCTTTTGCGACGTTCTGACCAGCCAAATCAAGAAGGAAGCCAGATTCACTTAACAAACAGGTCACCGCTGCAGCGATCCGTTTAACAACCGTGGCAAGAAAGGTCGTACGGATGTCTCACTTAGCAAGAGAAATTGTGGTTTTAAGTGGAGGACTACCTGTATAAGTCCACAGCTTTGGCTTAATATGGGATGAGCACCTGAGCAAGGACAGGCTGTTCTTCCGTTATGATTAAGGCAAGGTTCGGGCCCTATGAAGTAAAGTCTGAGATGCGACAGCCATCCATCTCCAGAGGAAGAACAAACTAGAAGAAGCAGGATTGTCTCTGGTCGATAGATACAAGGCTCCCATCTCCCAATTTTTCCCCATCTGGAAGAAATAATTTTCCAAGTGGATAGACCCATATCCTCTTAGCATGCATTCTTTCATTGGGATGGATATTAACTAGACTCAAATGTTGGCCAGATGTGCGATTCATTATATTTCACTGTGGTGGCTCAGTGATTAGAAAGCAGCATTTCAGGTTAACTTTGCCGACTGCCAGCAGTTCAAATCTCACCAGGCTCGAGGTTGACTCAGCCTTCCATCCTTCCAAGGTGGGTCAAATGAGGACCCAGATTGTTTGGGGGAAAGATGCCGACTCTGTAAAGCGCTTAGCAAGGGCTGTAAAGTACCATGAAGTGGGTATATACGTCTAAGTGCTATTGCTATTTCAGCAGCAAACCTGGCAGCTTGAAATAACATAGTTATATGCTAAAAGGACCCACCTTTTCGTTGCATAATATTGCTACTGAACCAAAATTTTATTTCCTGCATCCATACAGTCCATTCAAATTTAACTTTCGAAATCAGTCTTTCTCAATCTAGACACTTTTAAAATGTGTTGACCAACTCCCAGAATTCCCAACTGGCTGGGGCATTCTAGGAATTGAAGTCCCCCCACCCCCCCCCCAAAAAAATCTCAAAGCGGCTGAGGTTGAGAAATGCTGGTCTACATTAAAATTGAACCTGAGGCGCTTTATTCCTAATTCAGCCTTCCAGTCACTGCACCGTGTGTAGGTTACTGGTCTCAGAAGAAGGTTTAATGGACATATTTAACTAAATCTTTACTAAGTTTCCCTTTTCATCATATTTGTGTCTTGGTAACCTTTCCCAACCTCCTGCCCTGCAGATAGGTTGGATATCCCACACCCTGCATTCTCGTCTAGGGTGTCTTTCAAGAGAGCAGCAGGTTGGGAAAAGCTTATCTTAATATCTTTGTCATGTTTGGCTGACATTGCATCGTTCCTGGTTTTTCAGCTGATTTGCAAGGTGTGTGCTTGCTTGAATTTTGTGGTAGAGTATGAGCTTTGACATCAGCATTTTGCCATCTGCAACGAGAAATGGTTCCACTTACTTCATAAACCTCCCTTCTTTTTATAACTAGGAGATCTTCCATAACTTGGGAGTCTGCTACATGCAGCTGAAATATTTCAACAAGGTAAAACAGACCCTTCGGCTATATTATATGCTAGGCCAGGGGTCCCCAAACTTGGCAATTTTAAGACTTGTGGATTTCAACTCCCAGAATTCTGGGAGTTAAAGTCCACTCATCTCCAGTCGACCAAGGTTGAGTTCTATTGGGTGGAGTTCAACTAATTGAAACGCAGAGACCTGCTCCTAAAAGAGCACAATATGGCAGGAAATATCTACCCATCTTCCTAAAAAGATTCGTTCCTTGCAAGATGGAATAAGGCGGGAGGCAATTGGGAGGCCCAAAGAAGATTCTGCTCTGCTTAAATCTCCAAAATCCCACCCAGACTTCAACCACACCAATTCTGGGAGTTTGAAGCCCACAAGTTGCCTTAAAGTTGCCAAGTTTGGAGACAATCTCTGCTAGGCAATCCATGATGGCTCAAGGTCCCAGCTTTCCAGAAATCCTCCAAAATTCAAAGCTGCTTTAAAAAGCCAGAATCTGCATTTCATTACTTAAATGCCTTTAAGCTGAAAGAGAACCTCCAAGTTAGACTTGGGCCACCTTGAAGCTTCCGCTAGCCCTCTGAAGGGCCCAGCTGGTTCCTGTCTCTTCCCAGTTCAGACATTTGGGTGTTAATGATGCTCCCTGTCCCTTAAACCGAGGTTGCTTCTTCCAGTAACGTTGCAATCCACGAGTCAGAACTTGTTTGTTTTGTTCTACCAGTAGTTGCTAAGACCAAGCCAAGATTTTATTATGGGAGAATTCTTGGCTTGCTTCTCTCAAGCCATGAAAAAAACAGCGTGCCTTCTCTGTCATTGGCATGGGGTGATGTTTGCCTTTAAAAGGGAAGTTTGTTAGTGTATTTTGCTGTCAGCCTGAGGATTTTTCTCTGTCCTTCTGATGGTAACTTACACCAAGCCTATAAAATATAATGAAGTCTACAGAGTGTTGTGCTATTTATACCCTTTAGTAACGAACATGCTATGTTACATAAAGTCATCCTTTTTTTCAAAAATAGACAATTCCTCTCTCTCTCTCTCTCTCTCTCTCTCCAACCCCCCCTCCCCCCCTTTTTTTTAAAAAAATGGGCCTGGGGGAGAAATCTCAAAACCTGCAACCTTTTCCTTTCCATCCCACCAGCTGGGTCTGGGGGAGAAGAAAACACGGCTTTCCAATCAATGCCTTTCGATGGGGGGAGGGTTTGGGGCAGGAAGAAACCGTGTTGTCTCTGGGCACTTCATCAGTCCTGAAGTTCATGCTGGCATCAGCACTTTTGGGCAGAACGACCTATAAAACCCTGCTGAGATTTTTGGTCTCTTTACACTTTACTCAAACTCACTGCAACTCTAGTCTCAGCCCAGAGCTCCCCCCCACCTCTCCCCCACCAGCTTGGTTAGTGGCATTTAAGGGGGGGCAGGATGGGGAGAAGGAAGAGAAGGAGAGAGAGAGAGAAAGAGAGGGGGGGGGGGAAGCAGCCTATCCTCAAACTTTTTGTAATGAATTAGAATAATAACAGAATAACAGAGTTGGAAGGGACCTTGGAGGTCTTCTAGTCTAACCCTCTGCTCAAGCTGGAAAGCCTATAGCATGTCAGACAAATCACTGTCCAATCTCTTCTTTAAAATCTCCAGTGTTGGAACATTTCACAACTTCTGGAGGCAAACCATTCCCCTGATTAATTGTTCTCACTGTCAGCAAATTTCTCCTTAGTTCTAGGTTGCTTCTCTCCTTGATTAGTTTCCATTCATTCCTTCTTGTCCTGCCTTCTGGTGCTTTGGAGAATAGCTTGACTCCCTCTTCTTTGGGGCAGCCCTTGAGATACTGGAACACTTTATTTATTTTTATTTATTTCTTTTGTCAAGCAATTATAAGATAACAGGTATAAGTATAAACATGGTTATGAATACATGAAATGGATATGAATAAAAAAGAAACGATAGGACAGGGACGGTAGGCACGTTGGTGTGCTTATGCACGCCCCTTACAGACCTCTTAGGAAAGGGGTGAGGTCAACAGTAGACAGTCTAAGGTTAAAGTTTTTGGGGTTTGGGGAAGAAACCACAGAGTCAGGTAGAGTATTCCAGACATTGACCCCTCTGTTGCTGAAGTCGTATTTCCTGCAATCAAGTTTGGAGCGGTTAACCTTAATTTTGTATCTATTGTGTGCCTGTGTATTGTTGTGGTTGAAGCTGGAGTATTCATTGACAGGTAGGACATTGCAATAGATAATTTTATGTACTATACTTAGATCAGACTATCATGTCACCCCTAATTAGTTTTACAGGAGGGTTGGGCGGGATAAAACACCAAAGACTTGGAAGTAGCACCCGTAGAGGACAGATACGGCTCCTGCCTTGAGCGAAGGGTTGGACTAGATAGAAGATATATTTGGTGTATTTTGTTCCTTCCTTCTCGCCCCCCCAAGCAGCTGCTTGACATCGCTGGGGAGGGACAGACCTATATCAGCTCAAGCCAGAATAAAAGCCACGTTGGGAGTGGCTCAGGTTGATAGTGATGAAACCAAGCCCATTCTCTCGCTTGCACTCAGGCCAAAGATCAACTGAACAACGCCTTGCAGCTCAACCGCCATGACCTGACCTACATGACCCTGGGGAGAATCCACCTGATGGAAGGGGATAGAGACGCAGCCATTGAAATCTATAAAAAAGCAGTGGAGTAAGATATTTTCTTCCCTTCTACTCTTTTAGGGCAGGGTTTTTCAAACTCGGTTGCATTGAGGGCTGCATCAGGGTTGTGTTTGATCTCAAAGGGTAGGGGTGGGCATGGCCAGCTCACAAAGGCCTCGCAAGCTCCTTTTCCACTGGCAGAGGGTTGTAGGAGGCTGTCGCAGCCGAAAACACCGCAGGTTGGTCCTTCACTGTTTCCCCATGGGACCAGATCTAAGCACCCCACAGGCTGGATCCTTGAATTGACACCCCTGCTTTAGGGGGTGGGGGAGATGTCCTTTTCCAATTAATTTTTGGCTCCAGTTAAGTGCTTTATTTTGACTGTGTCGTTATTTTAATTAATTCAAGAAAGGAAAATGCCTTCCCATCCTCTAGGAAATCCCTTTAGCCTCACACTTAATTGGCAGACCCATGGTCCTCCCCCATTATCTGTCTATATAAAAGCGAAACACCCCTCATGCATCATCACAAAATCTCCAGAACCATAAAGCCTACAAACTTGGAAATTTGGCACCTATGTTCCACTTCGCTTCTAGGGGCTCACTAAGAAAGGATTTTTCGAAATGACTATCAGATCATTACTATTTCTTAATACAGTAATTAACACGCTCTGATGCTAAGGAGTTCTACTCCCCCTCCCCACCTGAAAAGAACTCTGTTCCAAATGCAAAACACAAGCAGAGGAGAGGAGTTTCAGTTTCAGTTTTACAGCAGCAAGCAGCTTTAGTACAGAACAGTTGAGCTAAGCCACGCCCTGGCCCCTTGCTGGCTCCTTGCTCACACAGCCAATACTGTCTCAGTTTCCAAACAGCCCTCCACTCTCTCACACACTGACGGGACGCTAGCCAGATGAATACTGATGGATCCTGGTAGGCAGAGGCAGATTTTTTTCCTCTCCAAAAACTAACCCCGACCACATAGTTTTGTAGCAAAGCATTGGGTATTGAGCTAGTTCAAAAATAGAGCTAACTGTGCCACCACAGAGAAGACTAACCTGAGTCCTGCAGATCCCCCAAAGAAAAAGGAATCGTTTTGGAGGTCTCCCAACCAGATGAGTGGAGTTAACTGTGGCAAGGGAAAGGATACTGCACTGTACACCTACAGAGAGTTACACCTGTACACCTACAGAGAGTTAACTGTGGCAAGGGAAAGGATACTGCACTGTACACCTAATACCTAACAAACTGGGATTGGATTGTAATCAAAACACTGCATGCTAAGGATTATAAGTCCCAAAGAGTGACACTACCGCCAACTTTCTTCTTTTCTTTTCCAACACAGGATTTTGGTGGAGAGGGAAAAAGAGGGGAGACAGGGTATTTGGTGCTGAACACATTCCTCTAACTGCCAGCCTAGAACTAGGGGTCTTGAAATAAATGTAAGACAGAAGGGATTTCCTGGAGGATGGGAAGGCGCCTTACTTGAATTTGGAAAGATTATGAAAAACATCGTTTTTTTTTTTCCAATTTTGGACCACGGCCTCCTCCATCTGCCAGCCTAGAGCAGAGGCCAGCACAATCTCTGGCACACTCGTGGGTTGGTCAGCCCCTAAACGTCTAATCCAAAGCCAATTAAATGGACTTTAAAATGGAGGCAGGCCCATTTTGACTGGCTAATTATGGGTTGCCATGAAAAGGAGGCTGTATTATTAATCACTGGCATAGAAAACATCGATATTCCTCAAGTACTCTTAATATTTTGGGCCACCTTCCTTCCTTCCTTCCCCTGCAGAAGAATGAATGATTGTTTGGCTTTAATGATGGCAATGGACGCTTTAAAACCCTGCAATCTGTATTTCTGTTTTTTTGTTTTTTCTTTTCAGATTCTCTCCTGAAAACACAGAACTCCTTACAATTCTGGGCTTGCTTTATCTTGAGGTATGAAAAGTTGGTCATTAAGTCATTAGGTACTTTTACAGGTCCTCGCCTTACAACCACAATTGAGCCCAGAATTTCTGCTGTTAAGCCAGATGGCGGTTCGGTGAATTTTGCCTCATTTTACCACCTTTCCTTTCCACCGTTGTTAACTGAATCAGGGCAGTTATTAAGTTAGTCACATGGTTGTTAAGTGAATGTGGCTTTGCTTGTTGGAAGGTTGCAAAAGAGGATCACACATGACCCCACAACACTGCAACCGTCATAAATATGAGTCCATTGTCAACATCTGAATTTTGATCACATCACCTTGGGGATACTATAAAGTTCGTAAGGGTGAAAAACAGTCAGGTCACTTTTTTCAATGCTATTGCAACTTTGAACAGTCACTAAAGGAACTGTTGTACGTCAAGTTGTAGTTTAGTTGTAGTAGATGTTTTTCCTTCTTTGCATTCAAAGTAAACCTCCTCTGTGGTACCCCCTCACCCACATCTGACGTTCTAACCCAGGCTTCGTCAAATGTAATCAATCACAAACTTGTTTTAAAAGCAAAACCTGTTTTATTGCAACACTGGGAATTGCTTTCATTCCCAGCTGGAACTAATATTAAACAGTTCCCCAAGATAAGCACACACCTTTCAGTTCTGTGGAATGCTGCCAAAAACAGAAGTATCCAATTAACTATAAAAGAAACCAATTGAAGTACCAGGGAAAAAAAACAACCAAAGTACACAGAGCTTGAGGATGACTCAGAACCGATGGAACTACTTTGCTTCCTGCAAAGGTTTCGTCATTTTGGCCTGACTTTTATCCCTGATGGGAGGGGCAATCACCTCCCAGCCTTATTCCCGAGTCACCCCTGCTGCTTTAGCTGCTCTTCTGGCAGCTCTGTGCATACGCACACTGGGAACAGGCTCCCCTTGTTCCTCTGCCTCGCTGCTGCCAGACTCTGAAGGCTCCAAAGGCAGCACTCCACTCCCAGATGGTCCCGGCCTCATCCCTGCATCGGACACAGGATCTGAGTCCTCTCCAGACTCCCTGACTGGTTCCCATTCTTCCTCACTGTCTGATTCCGCCGCCGTCTGCACCAGCTACCGGCAAACTAATTTGTAATTTGTACTAATTTGTAATTTATAATTTTACTAATTTGTAGCCTGAAAACTCTAAGACCCAAAGCATAATGTGTAGGAATGCCTCTCTCTGGATGCAATGACAGGAGAATAATCCATAGTGCTAAATAAAATGTCCCTTACATATTTTTTTCCTTTCTTAGCTTGAGGTTTATCAGAAAGCCTTTGAGTACCTTGGAAACGCCCTCACCTTTGATCCCTGCAACTATAAGGTAAATTGGAGAATAGGAAGACAAGCTTAAGTTTTGAGCGCTTTGTACAATGTATAAAGTTAATTGTTCAATACATCGAGGAATAGTCGAAGGTGGAAGTAAAAGGAGGCATGAAAATGCATGGCTTGCTTAACAAATGGCTTGATGCTAAGACCGAGTTAAGACGTCGTATATCCCCTTGTTGGTTTAATGTATTTATGATGAAATGTACAAATGTGGTGGTGTTAGAGGTTAGAAAATGAATAACTGCACGTTATGCATAAATGACAAGTCAATTGATTTATCTTGCTAGGCTATTTACAAAAATTGGAAAACAGAAATATTAACATGTGCAAATGAGGGTAAAAACGTTCAGAGTGATGAATGTTTTTTTTTTCTAAAATAAGCAAAAAAAATTGGCAATGTGTGAAACGGGTTTCTGTCCCCTTTGTTACATGGAAATCAGAGCTGAGTATTTTGGCAGCAATGGGAAAATATGTTGGATACAGCAAGAATGGGGTAGCTGGGGGCATGTCGTAAAACGAGAGAACCAGAATGAAAGGGTGGTAAATGCATATAAGTAGGTTTATACATGATTTTGTATTTATTTATTCTGTCATGTTTATGTAGTGCATATTAGAAGTGGAGACCCTTTGAGAGCTGTATGCCACGAAATTTCATTTTAATGTATGCAGCTTAGTGTACATTCAAAATGACAATAAAGTTAGTCTGAGTCAAAAGTGAATGCCTAGCATAAAAAGAAGTATATTGGGAGTAGTTGGATCCAGAGAAGGAACTGATGCGGTTTGAATCTCAAAACATTTGATAAGCAAAAGGAAAGCGAATAATTTCCATTAAACTTGTGGGTGAATAGAGTTGAGATGCTCATTGTATTAAGTAAAAGCAAGCCTACTTGATAGGGTAAGCGGTGTTGGTCAACACTAGATTTAGTTAATTCCTTTTATTTCGCTTACCTCATGGCAAGATTTCCCTGGCTTCCTGTTTCTGATTGCTTCCCTGCATTTTGTATAACTTTGCTCACCTCCCCCAAAAATCCTGTATGCATGTAAATAAACAACTTTACACAACAAGCATAATGGAAGAGTGTGAACGGCCTTCCTCCTCTCTCCACCTCCCAGACTGCAAGAAGGCAGTTGTTTGTGGTTTGTAGTATCATCGTACTTTTCTCGCCATTTGGGCCATAGGCTTTTGCAATGTGTCTGCCTTCAGATGCATTCCTGAATCTTAAGACAACACCTCTCCATTTTGGCCTCTTGAAAATATGGAGCTTATGCCATATTCACTTACTTACTATAGTGCATCCACACTGTAAAAAAGAGGTTGAGACTCGAGAAAGAGTGCAGAGAAGAGCAACACAGATGATGAGGGGGCTGAAGATTCAAACATATGAAGAACGGTTGCAGGAACTGGGCCTGGCTAGTCTAGGGAAGAGAAGGACCAGGGGAGACAGGAGAGCAGCCTTCCAATATTTGAGGGGCTGCCACAGAGAGGAGGAGGTGGTCAAGCTATTTTCTAAAGCATCTGAAGGCCAGACAAGGAATAATGGATGGGAACTGAACAAGGAGAGATTCAACCTGGAAATATGACAGTGAGAACAATTAACCTATGGAACAGAAGTTGCCTTCAGATGTTGTGGGAGCTTCATCACTGGAGACTTTCAAGAAGGGATTGGACTGCCACCTGTCAGACACGGTGTAGGGTCTCCTGCTTGGGCAGGGGGTTGGACTAGATGACCTGCAAGGTCCCTTCCAATTCTGTTAATCTGTTAAAGGTTTTCTTCTTTCTGGCCTACTTCATTTGGGCTTCTTGTCTTTCAAAGGCCATTTTGGCAGCTGGCAGTATGATGCAAACCCATGGGGACTTCGACATGGCTCTCAGCAAGTACCGAATCGTGGCTTGTACCGTTCCTGAGAGCCCCCTGCTCTGGAACAACATCGGGATGTGCTTTTTTGGCAAAAAGAAATACGTGGCGGTGAGCATGTTGCCTTCCTGTTCCTTGTTCCCCCTGTATGTGTCGAGAGGAGGAAGAACAGAAATTCTCTCCCTCTGTTTCCCATTGATTCTTTCTCCTCCATGGCGGGGAGGTGTATATAAGTAGTCCTTGAATCACAACAACGATTGGGGCCCAAATTTCCATTGGTAAGCCAGGCAGTTGTTAAGTGAGTCATGCTCGATTTTACAACTTTTTTTGCCATATCAATAGCTACAACTTATGACTTTTCTATTTAGACTTATATACCACTTCATTATGCTTTACAGCCCTCTCTAAGCGGTTTACAGAGCCAGCGTATTGCCACCCAACAAGTCCTCATTTTACCAACCACAGAAGGAATGGAAGGCTGAGTCAACCTTGAGCCACTCAGAATCGAACTGCTGGCAATCAGCAGAGTTAGCCTGCAAAACTGCATTCTAACCACTGGGAGGGAGGGAGAGAAGGAGAGAAGGAGAGAAGGAAGGAAGGAAGGAAGGAAGGAAGGAAGGAAGGAAGGAAGGAAGGATATAGCAATAGACTTATATACCACTTCACAGTGGTTTACAGCCCCCTCTAAGCAGTTTGCAGAGTCAGCCTCTTGTCCCCAACCATCTGGGTCCCCATTTTACTGACCTCAGAAGGATGGAAGTCTGAGTCAACCTTGAGTCAGTCAGGATCGAACTGCTGACAGTGGGCAGAATTAGCCTGCAGTACTGCATTCTAACCACTGCGCCACCACGCCATGATTGCTAAGCGAATCACTGCAGTTGTTCAGTGAATCCAGCTTCCTCCATGGACTCTGCTTGTCAAAAGCGGGCTGGGAAGGTTGCTCAAATAGCGACCACATGACCCCAGGACGCTGCAAACCATCATAAATACACGCCAGTTGCCAAGCGGCCCAAATTTTGATCGTATGACCCTGCGTGGATGCTGTGACGCTTGTAAGCGCGAGGACCGGTCGGTCTTAAGTCACCTTTTTTTTCCCCCCAGTGCTGTTGTAACTTCGAACGGTGGCTAAACGGATGGTTGTAACTCGAGGACTATCCGTCTGGGTTTCTCGCTGTGCTCCTTTGGTCGTGAGAAAGAGACGGAGGCCCTTCCTTCACCGTTTTTTGTTTTTGTTTTACTTTTGTCTGTTTCCTGGTGCATTGCTTTCCTTTCAAGGCCTCTGGCTAGGGAGAAGGGGGGGGGCGGCTACACACACACACACACACACACACACACACACACACGGAGAGCGGAGGAGGGTGTATCTTGCTTGCCCCGACATTTGGAGAAAATAAGAAACGCCGGCGAAGGGAGGGACCCCCTGCTGCTTCTCAAATCTCCCCATGCTGTTTTCTGCCTCCGGCATCTTCTCCCCGGAGCCTCCTGATTGGAAGGATTTGCGAATAACTCCCTCCACCAGGCGCCAGAACCCCTCCATCACTGAACCCTCCAACCTTGTTCTTTGGAGGGTTTGGGGCCGTGCGCCTCACTGGGGACACACACACACACACACACACACACACACGGTTCGATGTGCAGCTGTTCCAAGAGCCAGGGGTCCGCGTTGTAACAGGGTTCATTTCCCCACCGAGCAATTAACGGCCCTGGCACCTCTTTCTATTTAAACCTGAACTATTTAGCTATATATTCTACACTTGGTTGGCCCTTCTCCAGCAAAAAAAAAAGAAGAAGAAGAAGACCACGAATGAACTACGGTCTCTGTGTCACACATGATCTTCGGAGCAGTTGTGGGGTGTTTTTTTTTTTTTTTTTTTTTGACTACCGGTTCTGTGGGCGTGGTTTGGTGGGTGTGGCAGTGCAAAGTTTCTGCCAAATCCCATTCCCAGCTGATCAGCTATGGGCATGGTTTGGTGGGTGTGGTGTTCTGTGGGTGTGGCTTGGTGGGGCGTGGCAGGGGAAGGATCCTGCAAAATCCCCATTCCCTCCCCACCCCACTAACCTGCTTTCCAGCTCTGTTCTCCTGGGCAGGGCAACCAAAGAAGACCCAGCCAATCAGCTGTGGGCATGGTTTGGTGGGTGTGGCATGGCTTGGTGCGCGTGGCTTGGTGGGCGTGGCAGGGGAAGGTTACTGCAAAATCCCATTCCCTCCCCACCCCACTAACCTGCTTTCCAGCTCCGTTCTCCTGGGCAGGGCAACCAAAGAAGTCTCAGCCAATCAGCTGGGACTTGGGAGGCGGAGAATAGATGGGGGCGGGGCCAGCCAGAGGTTGGATTTGCCGGTTCTCCAAACTACTCAAATTTTCCGCTACCGGTTCTCCAGAACTGGTCAGAACCGGCTGAAGACCACGTCTGCTTCGGAGGTCTGCTGTGCCACCCAACTCAGATCCGCATTGCCCGGTTGCTGGGGTTGGGAGCACCCTCGAGCTGGGGAAGAGGAAGAGGAAGGGAAATTGTCCTCGCCTGCTCCCTTCCCTAGTTCAGCACAAGAGAGAAAGGCATGTGCCTTTGCACTGGCACTCATGTACCTATGTAGACCCCTGGATTTACTCCTGGCACACTGATGGTACTCTTGAGAGGAGAGCAGTTGACAGATTTCCTACATTGCAAACTCATTGTGCCACAGGATGGATTTCACTTCGTTCTGATGAACAGACTGAGTCAGAGCGCAAAGTATTCATTTATTTTATGTTTAAAGATGTTGAGACTCCAGAAAAAATGCAGAGAAGAGCAACCAGGATGATTAGGGGACTGGAGACTAAAACATATGAGGAACGGTGACAGGAACTGGGCCTGGTTAGTCTAGTGAAGAGAAGGACCAGGGGAGACACGATAGCAGCCTTCCAATAGTTGAGGGGCCGCCACAGAGAGGAAGGGATCAAGCTGTTTTCCAAGGCACCTGAAGGCCAGACAAGGAATAATAGATGGAAACTGAAGAAAGAGAGATTCAACCTGGAAATAAGGAGAAACTTTCTGACAGTGAGAACAATCAACCCATGGAACAGAAGTTGCCTTCAGAAGTTGTGGGAGTGCCATCACTTGAGCCCTTCAAGAAGAGACTGGACTCCCATTTGTCAGAAATGGTGTAGGGTCTCCCGCTTGGGTGTGTGTGGGGGGTTGGACTAGACGACCTACAAGGTCCCTTCCAACTCTGATTATCTGTTATCTGTTAATCCCACCTTTATTATTCTAGAAGTAACTCAAGACAGCAAACATACAGAATTCCTCTTCCTCCTCCTACCCCACAATAGCAACCTTGTGCGGTGGATTTGGCTAAGAGGGAGTGATTGGCTCAAAGTCATCCAGCCGGCTTTCAGGCTTAAGATGGGACTAGAACTCACTATCTCCTAGCGATTGGTCCAAAGTCACCCAGTCAGCTTTCAATGGCTAGGGCAGGACTAGAACTCACAGTCTCCCGGCCGGCACCTTAACCACTACACCAAACTGCCTCTCAATGGTTTGATCAGTCATAATGGATTGAATCACATCTCGTTACGTTCACCTTTGCCAGGGTTTGCAAGTAAAGTCTAGGACTTCTTTTGGAGAAAGGCAGTGTTGTTATTGTAGGGGGAGCCAAGGTCCAGAAGGTGGCCTTGGGACATCCCAGTCTTCTCCTCTGGTGACCCAACCATGTTCTTCCACAGGCCATCAGCTGCCTGAAACGGGCAAACTACCTCGCGCCCTTTGATTGGAAGACCCTGTACAACCTGGGACTGGTCCACCTGACAATGCACCAATACGCTTCCGCCTTCCACTTCATCAGCGCAGCGGTCCATCTCCAGCCCAAGCTGGCAGAACTTTACATGTTGTTAGCAGGTACCAACGCTGCACCTGTCCTCCCCTCCTCCTTACCTATAAATCCTGATTCCTGGCCTCCAGAAACATCTGCTTTGCTACGATACCAAGTAGTCACTGATATAGTACTTTAGACATACAGATCTTATTAATTATCTTCTTAAAACAATTGTGCTGAGATAATTTCACTTTACGAGCGGGGAGGACGTTCGTTCTTTAAATTGAAAATGTCACTGGTTTAAGGGTAAAATAATTCAGTGCTCCTCCACATTAGGAAGATAAACACTTCTGTTTGGGTTTTTTTCCCCCCTTTATTTGTTTTAGTTGCCTTGACAAATCTTGAAGATCTTGAAAATGCGAGGCTAGCGTATCAGAAAGCTTCGTCCCTGGACACGTATGTCTTCTCTACTTAATTTTAGGGAGGGCTTCCTCTGAACTCAATGAAAACCGGTGGTACTAAAGCGGGGGTGTCCAGCCGTGGCAACTTTTAACAGCTGTGGACTTCAACTCCCAGAATAGCAGTGTTCCCATATTTGAGGGGCTGACACAAAGAAGGAGGGGGTCCGTTTCTTCTCCAAAGCCCCCGAAGGCAGGTCAAGAAGCAATGGATGAAAACTTACCAAGGAGAGATCCAATTTAGAACTAAGGAGAAATTTCCCAATAGTGAGAACAATTAATCAGTGGAACTGATTGCATTCAAGAGTTGTAAGGGCTCCATCATTAGAGGCCTTTAAGACGAGACTGGATAGCCACTTGTCTGGAATGGTATAGGGCAGGGGTGTCCAACCTTGGGAACTTTAAGACTTGTGGACTTCAACTCCCAGAATTCCTCAGCCAGCTTTGCTGGCTGAGGAATTCTAGGAGTTGAAGTCCACAGTCTTAAAGTTCCCAAGGTTGGACACCCCTGGTATAGGGTCTCCTACTGGAGCAGGGGGTTGGACTAGAAGACCTCCAAGGGTCCCTTCCAACTCTGTTATTCTATCATTCTCTCTCTTCCTATCCTTACCCTGATCCACTGCCTCAAACCTGATCACAAAAATCAAGCCTCTGTAATGCTTTCTGCGTGAAAGTCTTTGGTGACTACAACGCAATTGGTCACATTTGTCTACTTTTTTGATATTTACCGGCCCAATAAACCAATGTTTGTTATTTCAAGGTTTCTTCTGCCTTACAGGGGCAACCCACTCATCAGTCTGAATTATGCAATCCTGCTATACAACCAAGGAGATAAGGAGGCGGCTGTGGCTCAGTACTACGAGATGCAAAGAAAGGTCCATGCGTTAAAAGAGAGCAGCCTGGATTTTGACTCCGAGGTATGTTGATGGTAAACTACTCATGGGAACTTTCACAGAGTAGTTGACTGAAATCAGAGGTTTTCTGTTAGAGAAGATACGTCTGGTATTGGAAGTGGGCGTCTTAAACCTCTACCTTATCCAAGCCAGAGGATTCAATTTCTGTCCCCCCCCAAATATTAAAATGGCTTCTGGCAACCGCCAACCAAATTGGGACCTTCTTCTGAATGGATATATAAGCATCTCTCACGCTTCTCTTATTTCCTTCAGTGAAGGCAAAAAATTGGCGCAGGGCTCAGGTAAAATCTGCCGCAGGATTGGACCAGGCATTCAGTTTTCCTTCTTCTTTTGCTCTTACGTGGTCAGATGGTGGACATAGCCCAGAGACTGGGCACTTCCTTACAGCTTGGAGAGGTTGCAATCTGGGCTAAACCTGGCAGAGACTCAAAACCGAAGGCACGAGGGGCTGCTGCACCCAGCACCCAGCCGTTGGGTTCCAATCAAGCTCTGGGGCAGGCAATGTCTTCTGCGGCTGGCTACGCAAAGACCATGAGTCAAGGTAGGTCTTCTAGCCCTCGTTGACTGAAGCAGAATCCATCCTGCCTTCTCAGTTCTTCTTAAGAACTCTCGAGAACTGGGAGCTACTCAGTCAAGCTTGGTTTCAAGGGCTCCTGACTTGTCGTAGTAATGGTTGGTTGGCTGGTTTAGCCCAGGGGTCTCCAAACTAGGCCAAGACATGGGCACTTCTGGGGAATTCTGGGAGTTGAAGTCTACGGGACTTAAAGTTCCCAAGTTTGGAGACCCCTGGTTTAGTCACATCTTTGTATCTAGTGTTTCCCCTGCCTAGATTAAAAGGAAGGGTGACCATAACTAGAGATAGGTAGAGCATTGTATCTTGATTCTATAGCCATGTCTTCCCCTTCGTATCAGATATTTATTTATCTATTTTGATTGGGAGCTGCCCAGAGTTGATGGAAAGATGGGCGGCTTATATAAATGTTTTAAATAAATAACTATTTCAAACCACATCAACTCCCATCTCACAAAAGTGACCCCCGGCACCCCTAGAATGGTTAAAAACCACAACCACAACTGGGGCCACAAACACAACGCGAAAGGGTCAAAAAAGCATGACGCAGCAGAGCTCATTTGACTCAAATAAAGGGAAGGATAAGAGGGGAATGAAGACTCAGCTGCGCAGAAACATACCTGCCTAAGATTTCCCTTTTGTCTTGTTGATGGCAGGGAAGCAGAGGGAGAAAGAGAGAATGTGAAGGCTTGGCAGGAAGAAGTAGGAAGGAAGCCCTACAGCACGGGTCTCTTCAAGGTGGTAACCACGGAGTATGGGAAGGAGAAGCAGTTGAGTGATTTAAGAACCAAATTCAGAGTTGTAAAAATGTACATAAGAGAAATTTTTCATTAAAGAAGGAAGCCAATAAAAGAAAAAGGTGGCAGGGGAGAATGAGAAAGTGGAAAATTCTTGACTGAGTTATAAGCCCTGATTGGGTCCTTCAGTGCATCCCCGTCTCTGACGGCGATGGACAGTTAAGGAATACAAAATATAAATTGATCAATCCTCAAAGGACATCCAGATGTCTCAAACATCTGTGGAAGTTTAGGTTCTTTGCCAAATTTCCGATCCTTCGGTAATGAGAAAGCATGACAGATCTATCAAATAAACTTAAGTGTGGTGGAGATCAAGAATGAAGTACATAAATTTTGACCTTCCAGCATCATAAAGGAAGTGATAATATCAATACACGTCACCACTTTTTAAACTGGAAGAGAAGAATGTTGGTGTCACTGCTTTGTGCTCTCTCTCCTTCTCCAGTTATTGGAAGCTCAACTCATCCGGCCAAGGTTCCTTCCTTACCTTTGGAGCCTAAACCCAACCAACATCCCCTTCCTGAGGAGGTCTCATCTACTCTAAAACCACAGGAGCAAATTCAGCCCATTGAACAAGCCGAGGAATCTTGAAGAGACGGCCAACTTGGAACGGCTTGTAGAGTGGCCTGTTCAACCTACTGGATGCATAGGGACAAGGTGCATTTGGTATCCTACAAACTTTGCACCAGACCAAAGAGCGCTGCAGTCCTTTCGGCTCACAATTAGCTGAGGAGATTCTCAGAGGCTGTGTTGTTTCCTTAACATTCCACACGTAGGCTAATGAAAGATGCCACAAAGATCGGGACAGGGTTTAAGTAGCTTTCCCTGGAAGCCCTTGGCCCTTCATAACACGAAGAGAAGTGAGTTTATTAAGTTTAAAGAAGTGAGTTTATCTAAGAGATGTCTCTAGATTTTGAGAGTGTAAGCCCTTTCTAGTCTTAATATTTTCATAGTTTTTAGATAGCTAGATAGAATCCTTTATTGGCCAAGTGTGATTGGACACACAAGGAATTTGTTTTGGTGCAGATGCTCTCAGTGTACATAAAAGAAAAGATACATTCGGCAAGAGTCAAGAATCAAGAATCATCAGGTTACAACACTTAACAATAGTCATAGGGTATAATAAGCTATCAAATCATACTAGAAAACAGTCAATAAAAATAGTTAGTGAGGCTGAGTTACTTCTTTGGTAACATTTCGAGCCGTACGAGCCATGGTGGCGCAGTGGCTAGAGTGCAGTATTGTAGGCTAATTCTGCCGACTGCCATCAGTTCGATCCTGACCGGCTCAAGGTTGACTCCGCCTTCCTTCCTTTCCGAGGTCGGTGAAATGAGGACCCAGATTGTTGGGTAGCAATATGCTGACTCTATATAAACTGCTTAGAGAAGGCTGTAAAGCACTGTGAAGTGGTATATAAGTCTAAGTGCTATTGCTGGTGCAATTTCTGAACCCATCACCCAACTGTTCTGTTGAACCCGAGGCATCTATTTGTATATTCCTTAAGCAAATAACTTTGTTTGGGATTGTTGAACTTGGATAGAACCCAGCTGCTTCTGTCGGATTTCTCTGGTTCCTGCCACTTCTTTGAAACCCTGTGGGAGGAGGAGCAGATTCATTTTCCTTCACCAATCACTTGGCAGTGGAATTTACTACTAGATACGTAGTAGAACTACATATGTGCTCGCTTGGGCAGAACATATACTAAAATTGAGAAGTATTGTATATTGGATGGGTTGTGGATTCTTTTATATAAATAAAAATGTGATGAATTGACTAAAATCCCTTCTATATATTACTTTTCCGATGTTATTGAACTCCCTTACACTGTGAATATAGCATGGTCATTCGGCTGGTGCACAACCAGAAGCACCTGTGGGGTACAGATGTATGAGAAATAAGAAAACAAGTGTGGTGGCATAATTCCCACCCTTTCGGTACACGCCTCTTATTGCATGGAGACACAAAAGAGGCAGGGCTAGCAGTGTGATGGCATGTGTTTGGTTGTTTAAATGAAAGCATCAGATCCTTTGGATGTCTGTCCACACCTCTCTCAGAAATATAAAACGGCTGGAAAACTCAACAGCAAGCAGGAATTACCCTTGGGGAAATACACACATTTGAGCCAGCTAGTGGCACACCTAAAATTAGTTACAACTGCTTGAAGCAACCAAGAGAGTTTCATATATGTTACCTTGAGCAAAGCTTTTCCTGGGAAATCTGGGATATCTGTAAGGGAAAGCAGAGACCAGACTATCTTAGGTATATTAAAATCCCGCTTTTAACTCGGAAAATGTATCGCAGTAAAGCAGGGATGACCAACCTTGACCACTTTTTAAGACTTGCGGACTTCAACTCCCAGAATTCCCCAGCCAGCCATGCAGTTGACATACAGCTGGGTTGCTTTGTGATCATTTGAAGCTATGACAGCCCACTCCCCCCCCCAGCAATATTTGCAACCCAGGTCTGAATTTCCATCAGCCAGTGCCCCCTCCCCAAATTGCTTTCACATGACATGTCAGGCAATCGGCAACTGGCCCCCATTTGCAGGTGTTTGGAGCATCCTACGGTCCTAATTACGATTTAAAAGAGTTTTGCTGGCTCATAGCGAACAATGGTTCATTTAACAACCGCAGGCTCCATTACAGTCATAAGTCGAGGAATTAGCTTCAGCCTATATCACGATTACACTCGGATAGAGCAAACTGAAGCTTGGACATTGAAACCATGGCCAACACATGGAATTTTATAGACAAGATTTCAGTGAAGTAGACAGAACAGTAATTTCTCTCCATGTAAGCAGGAACTCAGCTGAAGTTGGGAAAGGCAGTGGCTCATTGTGTGCTGGGCGGACAGTTTCCCAGCTTCAGTCACATTTCTCAGTAAGTTTAGAAAACTAAAGTTCCTTTCTTTGAAACCGTAGAGCCGTGGTGGCGCAGTGCTCAGAATGCAGTACTGCGGGCTAATTCTGCTGGCTGCCGCCTGCTGGCAGTTCGATCCTGACCGGCTCAAGGTTGACTCAGACTTCCATCCTTCCGAGGTCAGTAAAATAAGAACGCAGATTGTTGGGGGCAACAGGCTCACTTTATAAACTGCTTAGAGAGGGCTGTAAAACACTGAAGCAGTATATAAGTCTCTAAGAGTTATTGCGCTTCTCTGTTTTGGCGAGAAGTAGCATCTCATTCCCCTAGCTTTTTTGGGATCTCTGTGAAGTATATTAAAAAAAAAAAAACCACAGGAGAGGCCACTTTTGCAAATGCAAAACAACATTTATTGAAAACATCCTTGCACAGCATCGTAATATTTTTTTTACACCCATATATATATAATTGAGACCTCGTACATGATTAAAAAAATACTTATTTCATAGGAACTGTGCAGGCAGAATATTTTGGCAAGAAAAGCTATTCAAGTCATCTCTTTAGAGAAGGCTCCTAATATGGTCCACTCAATCCCTGCTATTATTTATTGGAAAGGGAAGGGAAGGGAAAGGAGAAAGGAAAGGAAAGGAAAGGAAAGGAAAGGAAAGGAAAGGAAAGGAGGGAGAGAGAGAGAGAGAAAAGAGAAAAGAGAAAAAGAAAGAAAGAAAGAAAGAAAGAAAGAAAGAAAGAAAGAAAGAAAGAAAGAAAGAAAGAAAGAAAAAGAAAGATTTAGAAAGAAAGAAATTTGAAAGAAAGAAAAAGAAAAGAAAGAGAGAGAGAAAGAAAGAAAGAAAGAAAAAGAAAAAGAAAAAATGCAGTTTCCATGTCACAGTTGAGTTTTGCAACTGTATGTTTCACAACTGCCTGGCACCAAGAAAATGGATGCTGATCCTTTACCCCAAAGGTATCCAACCTTGGCAACTTTAAGACTTCTGGACTTCAGCTCCCAAAATTCCCCAGCCACCTGCCTGGGGAATTCTGGGAGTTGAAGTCCACAGAACTTAAAAGTTGCCAAGGTTGGATACCCCTGCTTTACCCATTTACTCTACCCAGTTTAAAGCACTGTATCCTACATTTGGACCTCCGGCCAACAACTCCCTGAGAATTTGGGTAATGTGATTGCAATGAAATCCATTTTGATTTGAATGAAAAGGATCAGGCAGACACTATGTACAAGGGAACCTCAGGAACAAGCTCATCAATGTATAATTACAATTTCTTCAGCAGTCATCTGGGGCCATCACCTTGGAGCTGGGTTCTCCCCTTCAAATATATTTGGGCAACTACAGAATTTCTACCTCAGGTGTGTCAGCTGGGAGTTTTAACTCCCCCACACCTGGAGGTCACGTTAAGGAGGGCAAAGGAAGGTATGTAAATCTTTAGCTGGTGTTGCTTTAGTGCGGGGCTCACCAAACTTGGAAACTTTGAAGACTTGTGGACATCAACTCCCAGAATTCCCCAGCCAGCTTGGCTGGCTGGGGAATTCTGGGAGTTGAAGTCCACAAGTCTTCAAAGTTTCCAAGTTTGGAGGCTTTCGCTCTACTGTGGTGTTTCTCAACCTTGCCAAATTCCTCAAGTCAGAATTCTAGGAGTTGAAATCTACAGGTTTTGGCCAACGTTGAGATACACTGTCCTAGTGAAACGGATAGGGAAAGCTATCAAAAGATCTGCGAAAAATGTGCACTTTTTCCACCCCCCAATTTGGGTACAAACGACATACTTGAAAAGAACTCAAGTAAACTTTAGCTATTCCGAAGTAGAAGGAATGCAGTAAAACAGAAAGGCCACAGATAAGGAAACGTGTGAATGGAACATTAGCACGGGCAGGGTCTCCCAATCTAGCCTGGATGACTCTTAACTAGGATTAAATTGCTTTAAAAAAAAAAAAAAGAGGCTGGCTAGGTTTGAACAAGATGGAACAGACCTGAAATCTAAAAGGAACTAAGACAAGGAGCGGAAACAATGGAGTGGTTTTTTTTCCCCACCTAGTAGCCCCCGTGGAATTAAAGCAGTGCATTGTTATAAGCAGCACAGAAACTAGAAGGAAGCTGCCCATTTAACTGACACCATTTCTCTTATAAAAAAAGAGCAACCGCACGCACACACACGCACACAAATACATATTCAAGTCTTCTAAGTTTTGTAGCTGCTGGTTCCTCGATGTATTAAACATCCCCCTTCCTACCGCAGTCCCCGATGAGACCCATGATATCGTTGCTTCCCGGTGAAAAGACGGGGGAAATTTCCCAGAATAGGATGCAAAGAAGCGTTTCAAGTCAGCATCTATTCCGTCTAAAAAAAAATGGGTCCGTTTCGTGGGAATGCAAAATTTTGGTGAATTCAACTTGGGTTAGTGGGACGTACGTACCCCCGGCTTTGAAAACGAATAAATAAAACATACTGCCTGAGAAAAAAAAATTTCAGCAGGTGCTATTTTTCGAGTTGAACCTTGAGTCTGAATAAGTTTACAATGGCACTTAAAAATAAAAAGGGAAAGTCAACGGAACACAGTAGGTTGCTTAATGAATTGACGCTTAACGATCACTTGAATTTATGGGCGGGGGGAGTTGGACTAGATCAAAGGTCTTCAAACTTCGCAAGTTTAAGACTTGTGGACTTCAACTCCCAGAATTCCTGAGCTAAAATGACTGGAGGAGGAATTCTGGGAGTTGAAGTCCACAAGTCTTAAACCTGTCAAGTTTGAAGATCCCTGGACTAGATGACCTATAAGGTCCCTTCCAACTCTGATCATCTGTTATGACGGGCCCCACAAAAGGTACTTACGACTCGATTTACAGTTCCAATACCCTCCCCAGACATGTGACTGTATTTTGGCCGCTTGGCAACCGCCTTGCATTGACAGCCAATTCTAGCCATTCTATGGATACGTAAACCATAATTTTTTTGGTGACTTTTGACTATTTTGGACCTTTACTTTCTGGCAAAAAAACACCCCACCCATTGGATCAAACAGATTTGCTTAACCGCCACAAAAAAAATCCCAAAATCGGGCACAGCCACATGGTGACCCATTTAACTACAACGTACAACCATAATTTCAGACTCCATCGTGATTGCTAAGTCGAGGGTTGTAACTCTGTACATTATTGAGGTCTGCCAGCATTAATCCCATTCTCTCCCAATCAAATGCCGGCCTGAAGATTTCGGGTCCGTTGTTAGTGATACGTTTTATCTCGCCCTTCCCCTCTGGGAGTGAAAACCCTCCCCTTCCTCTCGCAACCACCGTATAAATTACAACCACTGAAGTCTTAACATTGCGGAGTGGGAATTACCGAGCACAGATTTAAATCTGAATTTTCGCAACCGAGCCTCGCACCTGGGCTGGCTTTTGCCCAGCTACCGGCAGATTCTTATTTATTGTAAATTACTCATAGGGCTGAACCTTTCGTAGATCAGAGGCTTTTGTTAGGCTGTCCTGCAAAGAAACAGATGGAATGAATGATTGAAGTCCACCTTCCTGGGAGCCCTTAAGACCTTATGCTAATTATAGCAACCCAGAAATGCTCGGTTTTCTTAAGCAAACTTCAGTTTTTTTAAAAAAAAACATGTTTGTTTGTGGTTGCTTATTAGGAGCCAAGATCTACCTCGGCATTTTGCACAGATGTATTGCGACTTGTTCTGTGTTACGCTTAGAAGGCAGCAGAAATATAGCTGGTTCTCCTTTCTAGTCCTTGCCCCCCAGCCTTCCCTGTTAAAGAGGAATTAAAACCGCCTGACATTTGAGAATCCCCCTTGCCAAGAAAAGAACTTCGAAAGTAGCAACCACAAAAAGAAAAAAGAAAGAAGGAATTAGCATTGCCCGGGTGAAAGAAATACGGCTGGTGCACCTTTGGAAGTAGGGGCATTAAAGGGAAAATATATTCAGTCTTCCAAACAAATAGAAGGTCCAGGTCTTCCTATGTCAGAAATGTGAAGAAATAAAAGATTTTTATTATTTTTCAAACTCCTGCCTGGCTGATACGATTCTGAAAAGGATCCCTTATATCCCACCTGGAACAATCAGGCACCACGAACAGTCTCCCTTGAGAAATTATAGCAAATGAAATGGGACTTAATTAAAAAAAACAAAAAACAGAGCACTTTCCTGTTGTGGTTCGCTGGCAGCAGATGCAGATGGCTGAGGTCTCGGAGAGCGAGGACTCAGATGAGGGGCCTGCGTGTGATGCAGGGATGGGGCCAGGACCGTCAGGGGGTGGAGTGCTGCCTTTGGAGATTGTGGAGGCTGGCAGCAGTGAGGAAGAGGCCCCCGAGGAGCCTGTGCCCAGTGCGCATGAAGGAAAGAGCAGCTGCAGCAGCACGGGCGACTCGGGAGTAAGGCTGCAAGGTGATGGCCCCTCCCTTAAGAGATTAAAAGCCAGTTGAGAAGCTGCAGTTCTTTGCAGGAAGCTAAGAAGTTTGATACGCGAGCCTGGTGGACGTTAGAATATCTGAGTTGGTGTTTGGAGACTCTTTGATTTATTGTTTAGGAACTTTATCTGTTGTTCTTGGCAGCCTTGCAAAAACTTGGCAAGGCTCTTCCTTGTCAGAGCCTAATTAGTTGGAAGCAGCCTTTTATCTGCGAAGAAACAGGATTCGTAAATGAAACATTAAAAGGTTGTGCTGCTGCCTTGGTCTTGGGTTTAGTCTCTCGGAACCAGGTTTGGGTCAAAGCATTTCCTTTCTCGCTCCGGCCCAAAGGGCTCCCTTTGGATGAAACTTCCTCTCTGACGGTTGCGTTATAAAACACTCCTATGGCAATACATCCCAAGTTCTGGATAGCATTCCTTGTCTCCCCCACACCACTTTGGTTCCTGATCCAATCTGACTTCCAGCCTGTACCTGCTTGGTCCGAATGTTGGGAGTTGGATTTTTTTTTTATTCCGTGCTTAATGGGGATGGATTTCTGAGTACAGGAGTCCTTCGGCAGATATGGCATCCCCGAGGCCCACAGTCCGCAGGGGGCTTTTACACACCAGCACGGGGGAGTAGTGGAAAGAGATGCCGTTCCGGTGCCACACCGATATGGGCTCCTTTGGGTTTAAGGAGATTCTGGAGGCCCCGCCCTCCGCCTTGGAAGTGGCAAACTCCAGCGGGGCCTTCAGGAAGACCTTGTTGGCGTCAATGGTCTGGGTGGCACAAGCTTGGATCCCCGCCACTCTGGCTCCGGCAGCCACGGCCGCCACCTGGTTGGCCCAATACCCATCCACGGTAACCAGGAGGTGGTAGGCCAAAGTATGGAAATGGATCCGGGTGAGATCCGAAGCCCTGGCTGAAGTCCTCCCGTGTTCTCTTAAGATCCAGAAAAGGATGTCGCTGACCGTGCCCACCTCTGGGACGCCGTTCCAGGAAGTCAACGAGGAGTGAGGTCCCGAGGCTGCCTGGGTGAGGAACAGCAGCTCTTGTTCGTTCAAACCGATGGAGTTCACCAGCGGGAAGATCTGCTAACAGACAGACCAAGCGATAGGTTGGCGTCGGAGGAGTCCACCTTCTAAAGACTAAGGCAGGGGCGTCCAACCTGGGGCTTCAGCTTCCAGAATTCACGCCTGGCTGGCTGGCTGGGGAGTTCTGGGAGTTGAAGTCCACAAGTCTTAAAAACGTGTCCTAAGGTGGGGTGAAGGCATAAAACCGCCCTGGAAATCAGAAAGGAGGTTTTATGTTTCTATGTCTTGTTTTATGTTTTATATTTTGTGTGTTTATGTTTGGTTGAGAATTAATAAAACCTTGACAGAAAGAAATATAATTGAATAAAAGTGAAGGGAGAAACAATGAGAAATTTGGAAAAGATATATATGTGCTTAAATGGAAATGTGACAATGTGGAACTATGCTGTATAAAATAATGTTTTATTTGCCTTGTTAAAACCTATAAGTAACTTTTAGAAAGGAGGTTTTATGCTTTTATGTCTTATGTTTTGTTTGTCTTTAAAAAATTAATAAAATTTGTTTTAAAAAAAAAAACGCCCTGGAAATCAAAGCATCGCTTTGGACCAAGCCTTCCGAAAGATAGCTGGAGATCCTGGCCACCTGAAATAATTGGCTTGGGGCCTGTAGAGTCTGTGTTGACCTGCCTTTTGGTACTGTACACCTGGATCTCGAGCTGCGACCACACTGGGTTCCCAGACTCACCATAGGTAAAAATAGGCAGGTCTCAAATCTCCACCCAAGGCCTTCCTGCCACGTTAAGCAATTTAAGTCTTTGTCTACTGCATCCCAGGTAACTTTAAATTCACCTCATAACTTCCATCTCTTCTGAAGGGGAGAAGAGACTCCCGCCGTTGTGATTTACCTGGTGAATTATGTCTCTCATGAGGTCGGGGTCGGTCATACCGGCTAATTCCAGATGGATCGGGACGTCGGTGGGAATGTCAGAAATGGAAGTTACGGCCTGCGGAAACACACCAACACACACACACACACAAAAATTCAGATTAGGAGAAGCAAAAGGCATATAGGAAAATAGCAGAAGGGGGAGGGAACCATCCAATGGAGTCAGTTTCTTTCTGACTGAATGGCTGTTGCGTCCATGAGTGGTTGGGTGAACATCCAAGCATATCTCCTTGCAGAGCCAAAGAAAGTCTTTGATTCATCTTCCCAGACTGTTATAGCGATAGCCCTTAGACTTATATACCGCTTCACAGTGCTTTACAGCCCTCTCTAAGTGGTTTACAGAGTCAGCCTCTTGACCCCCAACAATCTGGGTCCTCATTTTACCCACCTCGGAAGGATGGAAAGCTGAGTCAACCTTGAGCCTGGTGGGATTTGAACCGCCAAATTGTAGGCAGCTGGCTGCAGAAGTAGCTTGCAGTACTGCACTCTAACCGCTGCGCCACAGAGGGCTCCTAAAAATGCTAGGTGCTGGATGCCCACTCCCATCACTGACAACATGGCAGTCGGGAGATGCTACAACCCAGAGGATAATGGATTAGAGCAGGCGTTGGCAGGCTTTCTCCGTAAGGGACCAGATCTTGTCCTTCCTCCATCTTTCGGGCATGGTTAACACTTCCGTGAGCCAAGGAGCATGGCAGCCATTGGACAACATTGGTGCACCAGCAAGGAGGTTGCTGATAGGCCACTACCCGGGATGCCCCACCCATTATGGCCCTCCCCTCACCCTAGGAGCTTGCTTGAGGCTCGGGCTTGACCATCTGCTGCCTGCTCAAATATTCTAACTCGTGGACCACACAAAAACCGGGTGGGCTACATTTTACCTGCAAAGCCGTACTTTGCCAGTCTCTGGACCGCAGCATATCTCATTGCCAGGATCCTGACGCTAAAGCTCTAGCTGTAGTCTTTTTAACTAACAAAATAGTTATAGGCAGGGGTGGGATTCAAATTTCTTAACAACGGGTTCTGTGGGCGTGGCCTAATTTGTCGGTGTGGCTTAGTGGTCATGTGACTGGCTGGGTGTGGCTTGTATGTAAATATTTTGAATATATATATATATAAAGATTGAATTTTTTTATTTTTTAAAAAAGAGCAACTTTTACCCAAAATCAGGCAAAGCAGGCAGGCAGATTGAGTTGCTCACAGAATCACAGATTCACTCAGAGATCTATCTTTCTGCAATCTGCTGCCTGAGTCTGCACTGAAAAATAGAAGCTTCAATCCTAGGAAAGGTTCAGCTCTGTTCTCAGGCCACTTCCCCCTCCCCCAACCCCCTGAATACCATCCCTGACTGGGCCTCAGGGAAGCCTACCTGGGCAGGGTGGGTGGGGAGGGGAGGAGCCAGCCAGTGGTGCGATTTGCCGGTTCTCCGAACTGCACAGAATCGTAACAACCGGTTCTATAGAACTGGTCCGAACTGGTAGAATCCCACCCTTGGTTGTAGGGAAGTTTTTAGAAGAGAAGGCAAAGCCTTTTGGAACTCACCTCTCGGAGCCTCCTCTGGCGTAGCTCTCTGGTCTGTCCTTCCATCATATGGAACCCTGAAAGCACCACCAGGTCTGGCTGGAATTCCTCCAGGCTGGATACAAATACTTCCAGCATGTTCATGACCCCGTTGGACAGGTCATGGGAGAAGATGAATCGGTTGGCGTTGGGAGCTCTCAGCTTTCCCCATTCTTCACCTGATGAGCACAATCCCGCCCCCAAGACAAAAGCCCACCATTACACGGCATCTTTGCAGACACATCTTGCCTTCGTGACAGCTCTTACAGAGAAAAGGAAGACTAGGAGGGACACGAGAGCAGCATTCCAGTATTGGAGAGGCTACCACAAAGAAGAGGGGAGGGTCAACTTATTTCCCAAAGCACCAGAAGGCAAGACAACAAACAATGGAAACTAAACAAAGAAAGAAACAACCTAGAATTAAGGAGAAATTTCCTAACAGGGAGGACAATTAACCAGTGGAACAGCTTGCCTTTTGAAATCATAGGTGCTCCATCACTGGAGGTTTCTAAGAAGGGACTGGAGAGTCACTTGTCTGAAATGGTATAAGTCCTCCTGCTTGAACAGGGGCTGGACTAGAAGACCTCCAAGGTCCCTAGACGCTCTATTCTGATTGGTTCTGTTATCAGGAAAGAAATAAACTCTCTCTGTAGACAGTCTGCCATTAGGCCACTCGTAGTTTTGGAACTTCTGCCAATCAAGTAACTTACAGGTAGTTCTCATGTTACGACGACCATAATGGAAGCCTGTACATTAGGGCTGTAAATTATGATGATCATTTGACCAAGCCAATATTATGACCTTTCTGGCAGCGGTCATAAAGCAAGCACTGTACCCATTAAGCAAATGCCACACTTGCGAAGCGAATAATAGTCGTAAACATCAGTTTTAGGCAAAAACCACTGTAAATTCACATGGCAATCAGTTTTCTGTACTTTCTCTTTTTAAATCAGAGCTTTGCCTATTCACATTACTGGAAATTTCAAGCGTGGGCGGACTCGAAATATTGCTGAATGCAGAACGTGAACATGGCAGGAAAAAGTCCGGTTAAAAAAGAGCAGATCTCGTGAATTAATTTCCTTTTACCTTGGGCAAACTTCCACCGAGCCTTTTCACCACTTGCCTCTCATTCCCCAGGTTGATACCACTGAAGCAGCCAGAATCAAGTTTGAAAGGAAAACCCATTACAGATTTGCCAGTGACGGGTGATGCTTTCCTGCCCGGCAACAGGCTAGTGCATCTTTAAAAAGTCTTGCAATATTGACAAACGTGTTTTTTTTTTTTTTTTTTTTAATTTTTGTGCTATTTTTGCATTTGGGCATTTCCCTATTAAGAAATTCAACATAATCAGAATTCTGTGATGATCAAATATGAACCTAAGGTTATAATGGTTAAGTGGTAGATTTGTGATCGTGTCCTGCTGACAACCAGGCTGTTTCATTGGACACATCGGTGCTGGGTTTCTCAACCTTGATGACTTGAAGCTTTTGCTGGCTGAAGAATTCTAATGAGTGCTGAAGTCCACATGTCTTCAAGTGGCCAAGGTCATTCGTAATTACAATATATTCATGATGATAAGTCCTTTACGCCACTCCACCAATGACCCTTTTTTTTTGGATCTTCCAATGGCACGTACCTGCTTGGTATTCCAAAATAAGATGATATTCATCTAATTCCTGCAGTGATTCTGGAGGGACCATTACATTCTCATCAAGCAGTTCATGAAGCTTGGGTCCAATTGGGCCACAAAGTAGAACCTACAAGGAAAGAGACCGGTAATAGCTTCTCTCAGATTAACTGCATTCTTAGCGGATTTTCCAATTTTGATCCTGGTCATTTAGAGGCGAAGAGGTAGGCTGGTACAAACATTTCCCTATTGATGAATGAAAAACAGGACATAAAAGTCCATCATGCATATCTGCAAAACCACATTTGTTCTTTTGGGGGTTCAGTTGCTCAAGATCTACACTTAGTGAGCAGACGTGTGTCATTTGTCTATATTATCGCAAACTACATTATGGTATACAAAAAACCAGTGGGACAAAAAACAATTTACTGTTACAGGCCAAAGAATAAAGTTTACCTTTATGTTTGGATGAGATGCGATTTTCTGGCCAATGAGAGCAGCATTTCCTCCAACATACAACTGCAAGAGAGTAAGACGTCACTGAACCCCACTTTCCAGCGAGGAAGCATTAAGTCTTTGGCCAGTACCGTCATATAGCGGGATAGGTGGCATTTTAAAAACCAACTGATTACATTGAAGTATAACGTTTCACCGGCCAATCAGTGGTGGGTTTCCACATTTTCTCCTATCGGTTCTGAAAGTGTGCTTTGCGCGCATGCAGAACTCAAGGACCGTCCTCTGTGTCAACACTGGTGAGCTGTGCTGTTTTTTAGCTCAGTTGAGGAGCGGCAGGGAATATAGGAGACAATAACAGCAGGGGCAGAGGTGGTATTTGCCAGTTCTCCAAACTAGTCAAAATTTCCACTACCCGTACACCAGAACTGGTCTGAACCAGCTGACTACCACCTCTGCGACCTGTGCCATTTTCCAATGCTGCAGTTTTCTGCACTGGACATTTTATAAGTACGTAAAATGGAAGAAAGAAGGTGTGGGAAGAGGATGGTGAGAACAGGTAGGGTTGTTTGCAAAGTTCTCTCGATTATAAATTCTCAGTTCCTGCATGTATTTTTTTTTTATCCAAGCTTTCTGTTCCTTGACATATTTGCTGACTCTTGCAACCATTTTCAGTTCCTTGCTGCTTTCAGTTCTGTTTTAGCTCTGTCATCTGCTGGGCATATTCTTCTGATGAAGAACAGAATGTAAACCCAATTAAAAGAAAAAGAAAAAAAGAAAACTAATCTCAACACTCCACTTCCCAGAGAGGACCAGCAGGCTTTCTGTTTCCAGAAACACATTCTGAGCATCAAGCGATCAGCTAATTCCAGTCTGCTACTAAACCTCCTGAAATAAGTACAAATGAGATAACTGTGTGTTTGTTTGTATGGAACCGCGGTCTCGTAAACGCAAGTGTGATAAAAGGAAGAATTTTAAAGCCATTAATCAGGTCCCAAATTAAATGTGAGATTGAGCAATGATAAAATAAGCTTGTCAACTCACAGGGGATTTAGAGCTGCTGGTGTGGCCGGCAGCCAAGAACTAGCATGACTTTGCAGAAATTTACATAGTTGTAAATTTTAGAAGATTCACTATCGGCCTGAAATTATTGAAGAAACACTGGCTCAAGGTGGCTTTGGAAAACTGGCGTTGTCTGTTAGCACTGGGGACAGTTTCACCTTTTCATCCTTTAAACCAAAGGAGGTTTAATTACAAAAGCTGATTTGCTGATACCAATTTCATCCCCACGGCAGTTCGAACAACTGACAGGGAGTGGGAGTGTAGTTCCGTTGGCTGTGGAGGAAACTGGGGAAGGGCAAAGCTGGGCAGAGCAGGGGAGAGGTAGAGCAAGGGAGAGGGAGTTCAGAGGAAGACCCAGGCCCACCCCTTCTTCATCCTAGGGCACGCAGGGAGGAACGGAGAAGAGAGCAATGTGGGTTGCGTGGCTTACTGGGGAGGAAAGGGCCCTGATTCCCTTCATAAGCTGCAGCTGGGAACACAGTGTATAAAAAAAGGCAAGCTGCGTGCGGCAAGCTTTTGGGAGCAAACATGAATTTGTTATCTTGTATCGTCATGGTTTATCTGTGTTCCTGGCGTCTTCCCAACTGTGTGAGTTTTGTCGTGATTTCAAGTTTGAAATTCCTGCTCCTGTCTTGCCAAACTAATTACTTCAGTTTGGACTTTAAGTTACAGTTTGTGTTTGCCCTGTTTTGGACTGAATTTTCTAGAGTCACAGGACTGTTCCTGGAAGAGCTTTTCTCCAGCCAGGAGCTAACCTGGACATTGGGGGTGAAGTTGGAGCTAATAACTCTTCTTGATTACTTGACTGTGTTGCCTTTGTGCCACACCCCTTTGGGTCATATATCCCCAAGTGCCTTTATTAAAAGCAAAATAAAATGGAGAACATTTTGACCACATCCAAGCAGTTTCCTTGGGAGCGTTACATTGGAAGTGATTTGGCAATGGCTTCCTTTGGCTCAAGATGACCTCCTTTGGCACATTATGCGAAGATCCAGCTCTCTGGAAAAAGCTCTGGTGGCTGGGAAAGGTGGAAGGAACCATCTGCACACCTCCAGAAGAGGCCTTTGATCCCCGATACGAACTCAGCCCGGTGGACCTCCTGCCCCAGCCAAGAGCTTACCTGGGCGCCCGGATAACTGGACGCCGTTTGTGCGATGCGGTGGAAGCCATCGGCGTCGTTGAAGAACCGTTCTGCGGCAGCCCCCTTGCCCATAAAATGGAGAAAGGCTTCCTCCAGTTCGGCAGCGGAACGCAAGACCGAATGGTCTTTCCCAACCTCACCGTGGAAGCCGAGGGCCTGCAGCAGCTTCACCCCAGACAGGACCACATCGACGCAGGCGTTGACCCTGAAGAGAAGGGAGGCTTAGATCAGATTAAGAGAGTTGGGAGGGACATTGTAGGTCATCTAGTCCAACCCCACCCCCCCCTGCCCAAGCAGGAGACCCTACACCAGTGATGGCGAACCTTTTTGTTGTGGTGTGCCGAAAGCGCGCCTGCATGCCGTGCACCCACAATGCAATACGCCCTGCCTCCCCCTGCGCATGCGTGCATAACAGCCCCGCCCCCTTACCTGCACTGTGCATGCATGCGCCTCCCAGTTGATTTTCGGCCCATTTGAGGCTGTTTTCGCCTTCCCGGAGGCTCAAGGGAAGCCTCTGCAGCCTTGGGAGGCCAAAAAACGGGCCCGTTTCGGTACTTCCGGAAGGCCCATTTTTCTGCCTCCCAAGGCTGCAGAGGCTTCCCTTGAGCCACCAGGAGGGTGAAAACGGCCTCAAACAGGCCCAAAATCAGCTAGAAGATGCACACATGCACAGTGCAGGTAAGTTTGGCTGGCCACCTGTGGCACATGTGCCATGGGTTTGCCATCACGGATCTAAGCAACCATCTCTTGTGCTTTTAAAAAATGCAAAACCTCAAGAGCCGTTAAATTTGGGCGTCCTTCCACCCTCCATCAACCAAGTGAATCAATCAACCCATCCATCCTTACCCCACAGCGACTCTCGTCCACTGCTTGGCTGGCCGGGTAATAAGGGCATCCCAGGCCTCTGCCATGCTGCCTTCTGGGGACTCCTGGTCCTCCCGAAATTGGTCCAGGAAGGGTCCCGAGAGATGCTCCCACAGGAAATCCGGCCACGCAGGCTCCAGCCAGAAGACGTAGCCGGTGGCCAAGGCCAGCACAGCCACACCCAGGGCCTTGTGCCACATGGCGACGTCTTGGGTTGTACGGAGAGGCTCTCAAAGGCCGGCGGCGATCGTAAGGGGCTCAGGGATCACCCTCCATTCTGGGAACGGATCCCACTCTGAAGAGAAAGAATCGAAAACCAGTAAATGGAGTTTGTACAGACGAAGCTGCTCATTGGCCCCTCCTTGGGGGGGGAGAATTCCAGATGTTTCGGTTCCCAGTTGTGGCTTCGGTTTGGTGCTTTGGAAACTTCAAAACAACCAGCAACGAGGGGAAAGAGGCTTAGAACAGGGGTCTCCAACCTTGGCAACTTTAAGCCTGGCGGGCTTCAACTCCCAGAATTCCCCAGCCAGCTTTGCGGACTTCAACTCCCAAAATTCCCCAGGAATTCTGGGAGTTGAAGTCCACCAGGCTTAAAGTTGCCAAGGTTGGAGACCCCCCTGGCTTAGAGGAATGGGCTGGTGGGGCAAAAAAAAAAAAAAAGGTCAAAAGCAGAAGAAAAACTGAGTGATTCCTACCAGCTTTACAATGGCCTATACGAAATTTAAGAGTAACTGAGTTGTTGTTGTTTTAAGTTATTTTTATTGTACAGGTAGTCCACGACTTAATGACTCCCAAGGGAGCCCCAAAATTATGTTGTCAAGTGAGACATTTGTTAACTGAGTTTCGCCCCCTGTCACAGTTGTTAAGCGAATCACTGCAGTTGATTTCAGTTAGTAACCCGGTTGTTAAGCGAATCAAGCTTTTCTCCCTTGACTTGGCCGCTCAGAAGGCCACCAAAGATAATCCAACGACCTTGGGAGACAGCAAAGGTCGTAAGTATGAACCAGGTTGCCAAGCCTCTGAATTTTGATCCTGGGGAGGCTTCCAAGGTCCAAGTCCCTCTTTTTTCCAGCACCGTTGTAACTTTGAATGGTCACTAAATGAGCTGTTTGTAAGTCGAGAGCTTTCTGTCTTCCCTTTGGTTATTTTGCCTTACAAAGGAACACACAATGTGGCTCTGTGAATGAGCGTTGGCATTAGTCACGTTGAGGGCGGTTTTGTGTGTGTGTGTGTGTGAGAGAGAGAGAGCTTTGTGGATGATGGGTTTTTTAGTCATTAAGCATCTGGGCCGCCATGCCACATCTGGAGGTCTCGCCGGCTGGGGATGATGGGAGAAGCAGACGAGCCCATCTCCAGGCTGGAGGAGGGAACAACTTATCTGGGACAGGGGGAAAGGCTGTCATGGCCGGGGATAATGGGAGCTGCCGAAAAGGAAGCACCCTGCCTGAGATGATGGGGGCTGTAGTCCAGCATAGCTGGAGGAAAGGAAGAGGAGCAAGCGGGCTGGGGATGATGGGAGCTGCAGTTGCATAAGCCCGGACGTCGATAGGACAAAAAAAAAGAAAGGGGTTGAGATGCTGGGAGAAAGGGAAGGGACCATGCTGGCTGGGGATGATGGGAGCTGCAGCTGCACAAGCCCAGAAGGCGATAGGAAGAAGGGAAAGGGGGTTGAGATGCTGGGAGAAAGGGAAAGGAGCACGTTGGCTGGGGACGATGGGCGTCGGAGTCCCATCTACCTGGGGGGCCCTGAAAGATGCTCAGCAGCAGGGAACCATGCCTAAGCCCATCTGGGGAAGGCCAGGAGTGTGGGGATGATGGGCTCTGGAGTACTACTCAGGGCCCAACAGAGGATCCTGCCTCCCCCCCTCCACTGCCAAGCAGGCATCCCGGATTTCTGCCGCCCTCCGCCGAGACACCCGGGGGAGCCGGGCAAGCAGGAGAGCCGCAAGGAGCGTTACCGTCCTGGGCCGCCTTCGGCCAGGCGCTCCGTCCCGCCGCCGCCGCCGCCGCCACCACCACGTCAACCGCGAGCGCCCGCTAACGCCGTTTGCGTCCCTCGGCCGCGCCACCCCGCGGCCGCCGCCGTAACTTTCGGTAGGGAATAAGCGGAGCTGTCAACGGAAGCAGCGTACCGGCAAGGCAGGGGCGCCTCTCAAGGGCGCAGCGCCCTTTCCAGAATGCGGCAACGGAAGCGTAAAAGCGGCCGGCCTTCCAGCGGAATATACCAACTTTCCGCAAAAACGCGGGGGGGGAGGAAAGAGGGAAGTGAATTGGAAACGATTAGGAAAGACTTGTATGAATCGTAAAGTAAGACGAAGCGCCGCCTTTCGGAAGAAACCATTGGGAAGCGGCGGGGGTGGGATTTGAGGGATAAAGCATGAGAGCATGAAAGGGGGAGAGAGCGTGCAGCTTTTATGATGTTTTTTTCCCCTTCCTGCCAGCCTGCGTTGGTAACGCAGATATGATCTGATGGCTCTCTCGGTGCAAAGGAGCGAGATTTAACACGTGCATCCATCATGCCTTGGCTAACCTTGGCTCTCATTCAGCAAAGCGGCCCAGAATCAGCGAAATTTAGGACTGAATGAAGCAGCTGAGTGGGGGAGAGGACAAAAAAAAAATCCATACTTGCATGATGGATTCACGAGTTGGACAGCTTTGCGCATCGTTTAATAACGGGCACTTTGAAATATGTTCATTAAAAAAGAGGGAGAGATTACAAACACCTGCCCTGCTAAGAGCAACCCATCTGCTACTTGGACCTCGGTTCCCATCATAGATAGAAGATAGAAGATAGAATCCTTTATTGACCAAGTGGGATTGGAATTTGTCTTGGTGCAAATGCTCTCAGTGTACATAAAAAGAAAAGATGTATTCATCAAGAGTCAAGAATCATCAGGTTACAACACTTAATCATAGTCATAGGGTACAATAGGAATAGAATAGAAATAGAATAAGAATAGAATAGAATAGAATAGAATAGAATAGAATAGAATAGAATAGAATAGAATTCTTTCTTAGCCAAGTGTGATTGGACACACAAAGAATTTGAATTGGTGCAAATACTCTCAGTATACATAAAAGAAAAGATATATTTGCCAAGAGTCAAGAATCATCAGGTACAACACTTAATGATAGTCATAGGGTACAATAAGCAATCAAATCATACTAGGAAACAGTCAATATAAATCATAAGGATACAAGCGACAAAGTTACAGTCCTACAGTCACAAGTGGGAGGGGATGGGTGATAAGGAGTGATGAGAAGATTAACAGTAATAGTAGTACAGACTTTGTAATTGTTGAACAGTGTAAGAGGGAATTATTTGTTTAGCAGAGTGATGGCGTTTGGGGGAAAAACTGTCCTTGTGTCTAGTTGTTCTGGTGTGCAGTGCTCTATAGCGTCGTTTTGAGGGAAGGAGTTGAAACAGTTTATGTCCAGGATGTGAGGGGTCTGTAGATATTTTCACCGCCCTCTTTTTGACTCGTGCAGTATACAGGTCCTCCATGGAAGGCACGTTGGTAGCAATTGTTTTTTCTGCAGTCCTAATTACTCTCTGAAGTCTGTGTCTGTCCTCTTGGGTTGCAGAACCAAACCAGACAGTTATAGAGGTGCAAATGACAGACTCAATAATTCCTCTGTAGAACTGGATCAGCAGCTCCTTGAGCAGTTTGAGCTTCCTGAGTTGGCGCAGAAAGAACATTCTTTGTTGTGCTTTTTTGATGATGTTTTTGATGTTAGGTGTCCATTTTAGGTTATGTGATATAGTAGAACCTGGAAATTTGAAGGTCTCTACTGTTGATACTCTGTTGTCTAGTATTGTAAGAGGTGGTAGTATGGGAGGATTTCTTCTAAAGTCTACCACCATTTCTACAGTTTTGAGTGTGTTCAGTTCCAGATTGTTCCGGTTTCACCATGAGGCAATTTGTATAACCTCCTGTCTGTATGCAGATTCCTTGTTGCCTCAAATGAGACCAATCACTGTTGTGTCATCAGAAAACTTCAGTATTTTAACAGATGGATCGTTTGAGATGCAGTCATTGGTATATAGGGAGAAGAGAAGTGGAGATAGCACATAGCCTTGGGGCCCCTGTGCTGATTGTACAGGTATCGGATGTGATTCCACCTAGCTTCACCTGCTGCTTCCTGTCTGTTAGGAAGCTTATGATCCACTTACAAGTGTGTTCAGGTACTGCTAGTTGGTTTAATTTAGTTAGAAGAACTTCTGGAATGATGGTATTCAATGCTGAACTGAAATCATCATTGCCAAGATCCCAATTGGTTAGGGGAAAATAGGTTACAACTCTGAAGAAGAACCGGAGCTCAGGCAGGGCGATGGTTATTGTAGTCCAGAATCTCTGGGGGGGTAGCAGGTTGAAAAAAAAAAACCCTTTCTCCCTTTTTATCTCAAAAGCCAAATCCTGCATCTGAATCGAGTCAGGATGGAGTTTGAAGGGACCATAGAGATGTTCTAGTCCAGCCCCCAGCTCAAAGCATGAGATGCTATATCATTGGTTTGGTGTATCTAGATTGCATCAATATTAGAAATAATCTTATATATATATCCACATTGCAATAAAAAAGATTTTTTTCCCCCCCAGATGTAGAACTGTCAGTGGTCCAGTTGGGGTTTTTACATTTGCCAAGATCAACCGTTCCAAAAACGCTTTGTCTCCCTTTTGTTTGCAAAACCTTGCTTTTTGCTGCAGCCTTTTTCCTTTCTCCTTTTGTGATGTTTTTTTTTTCTTCCTTCCCCTACTTGGGGCTTGAATTGTTGTGTTTGTTCTTGAAAGCTGTAAAGAAAAATGAAGTGAAAAAGCACATTAAGAAATATTCCCGTGCTTTTTATTAGCTGTTGGTTTCTCTTCCAGGACTCCTACCTTTTGCAGCTCCTGAAAAAAAAAAATCAAAGATATATAACACCTAGGAAGGAAAATTGCCCTGGAGAAACTCTTAATAAAGCTCACCATCTTTTTTTACTATAAGCGGCGGTAAATTTTCTCTGAAGTGGCAAAGACAGAGAACCAAGTCCCCAAAGAAGCAATCCAGACATTTTATCCGGCGGCTGCAGAACAGAGCTCTTTTCAACAGCGTTTCGTGCATCACCATTTTGTCCCCATATATACAGGTGACAGGTCAGTGACAAGAAGCAGAGGCTCACCTATCCATCACCACCAGCACAGGGAATTTACAGCCGTTGCAAATAAGGCTGGCTGGAAATGGCTCCAATCAGACCAATGACTCAAAAGGCAACATGTTTTTTTTTTTACAGTGGCCACAAAGGAAGTTTACCTGCAGATAACGAAAACCAGCACCCACTAAATCAATCAATCCATCAGAATAGAGCTGGAAGGGACCTTGGAGGTCTTCTAGTCCAACCCCTTGCTCAAGCAGGAGACCCTACACCAGGGATGTCAAACTCAAGGGCCAAGGGTCAGATCTGGCTTCCATGGTGCTTAGATGTAGCCGGCGAGGCTGCCCTGGAAACAGCGAAGGACTGGCCCACA